GCCAGTGCCCCTCACTCCTGACCCGCAGCCCCTGCCAGCCCAGCCCTCTCCCCCCCCAGCTCTGCCAATGCGCCTCCCTCCCAACCCCCACTCACGTGCTCTGTGGGCAGCCCTGAGCTAAGGGCCCCAGCAGGAAAGTCGGGGGCACCGCGGCCCCTTGTCAATGCCCAGCTGTGCCCAGGGCTGGCTCAGGCCCCGAACCGCCTGCGAGCATCGGTGCCAGCTCGGAGAAAGGGGGCAGATTGCGGAGCGCCATTGGCTGGGCCTGTCCCTCTCCCCCCACCACAATTCATCACCATAGCGCCCACGCTGCCTGGAAACACGTGCCAGCTGCCCTAATTAGAGGCAGGCGCTGGGTGGGGGCAGGGCTTGCCACGCAAATGAGGCAGGAGCCTGAATACATTTCGCTACTGAAATAATCAGTGGCTGGGGCTGAATTCGGCTCTGGGATGCATGGGGCTCCCCTTCTGCCTGACAGCAGCCGCCGTCCTCCCTCCCCACATACGCCCCCCTGGCTGCCACGGGCAGCCCCTCGCTAGCTCTGTGTCCTGCCCCTCGGCGCCCCTCCCCGCAGAACTGGGCATGCCCCCCAGCTGCAGCCCGCGTCCGGCGGTGCCCGGGGCATTGGCCATCCCGCTGGTCCCCACGAGGAGACAGACGAGGGCTGAGCTGCCATGTATCCAGCCCAGCACCTCGAAGGCTCAGTCCGTGCCCCGAGGCCGGCGCTTGTGGGCACAGCTGTGGGGGGGGGAGACTTGGCTGGACTCTATTTCCCAACGGGGATTCCCAGCCCCCTGCCCCGGTTCCCACCCTGACGTTCCCACCAGCCTCAGCCCCCCCGGAGCATTCGCCTCCTCCCCGGGCCCCCTGGCACTGCGGGGCTGGCAGCGCCCTGGCCGGACGAGGGAGCCCAAAGCCGGCTTGCGGGGAGAGGTTTGGAGACCGGGAGTCAAACTCCCCCCATGCGTCCCCCCAACTTCAGACAGTGCTGAGCCCCCCCTCCGAAAACCGGGCCCCCCAGTGCTGGGGCCCTCTGGAGCCAGGGCGCTCCCTGCTCCTTCCCGGAGCTCGGCGAGGAACTGGTGCAGAACGCCGCTTTGCCTGGCCATCCCGACGGGTCCCTGTGTCTCAGCCCTGCTCGCCCCATCCCTGGGCGCACCCCGGCCCGTGGGAAAGCCAAGGGGCCCCCAGGAAACGCCAGCAGCAGGTGGGGAGCCGGGTGCGGGTGGCCTGCCGGCTGCAAGATGTCACGTCAGCCACCGCACGGGGCCGGGCCTGGATCCGTCCGTACCTCCTGACAGTTCTGCAAGAAACGCTGCAGATCCAAGTGATCGTTCAGCTGCTGCATCCACTCCTGGGCCAGCTGGAAGTTCTGGTGGTTCCTGCAGAAATGAAAGGTGCCGGCTCGGTTCCCTGCCGCGGAACCGCGTGGTTAACGCTGCTCAGCCCCTTGCCGGCGCTTCCAGCCAGAGCGATCCCGGGAGCAGAGGTGGAAACACCCAGCAGGAGACCTGACCTTCAAACGGCTCCTGTCTCCAAACGCGCCCGGCTGTCATTGCATTTTGGGAGCATTGAGAGACACAGATCAGGCCCAGACCCTGACCGAGATCAGGGCCCCGTCGCGCCAGGTGCTGCCCAGACCCCAACCGAGATCAGGGCCCCGTCGCGCCAGGTGCTGCCCAGACCCCGGCCGAGATCGGGGCCCCATCATGCCGGGCGCTGCCCAGATAGAACAAGAGACAGTCCCTGCCCCAAATTGCTCCCAGTCTGAACAGACAACGGGGAAACCGCCCTGCGGCCAGACACAGCCAAGAAGCCAAGCAGGACCCCAGGGTGGGTGTTTGCTCCAGGCTGGGGAGGGAGGGTGGCCCAGGCGATGGGATCCAGGACCAGCTCTGCAGGGCTCGGAGCAGTCCCGAGAGGGGCCCGGGATGGTCCTACATCTCCAGGGACGGGCTTTGCCACGAGTCCCGGGGCCTTTCCTCGGAGCTCCGGGAGCTGCCGCGGCTCCGGCTGCGCTGTCTCCAGACACTTTGGGGGGGGGCGAACCCAAGCTACCCGCCTGCGCCCGGGACACGGGGAGCGGCTGGGGATGGGAGGCCCTGAAGAAGGAAGCTCCCAGCCCCTGGCAGGCTCAGCCCTTCTGCAGGGCGGGAAGAAACGGGGCAAAGCACCCGGCGAGGACTCTGGAGAATTCCCCACAATCATCCGAGCGGGCGGAGACGGGCTCTGGCCTGTCTGTGCAGCACCGGGGACCCTCCGAGCTGCCTCAGCACAGACCAGCCCCATCGAAAGCCTTAGGGACGGAATCGCTGGGCCCCACACCTGCCAGCGTCGCGTCGTTCCCGCAGCCACAGCTTCCGGGCCAGCCGGGACCACAATCGCCCGGGCTGGGCCACCGGACCCGGCCCAGAGACAAACCAACTGGGCCAGCTCATACCCAGCACCTGCCACTGGGCTCGCCAGGCGCCGGACAGAGGGTGGGCTTCTGACCCCACTGACCAGCCGGGCAAATGGAGCGACCCTGGTCAGCTGGTGCCTGGGCAGAGCGGACTCCCAGCCAGCGCCGGTCCACTGGGCCCCGCCTCCAGCCAGTGCCGGCCCTGAACCGAGGGACACAAGCCTCCCCAGGTACTTGTTTAGGGCGTAATTCCTGCCAATGAGGCCAAACCGCCTGGTTTTGACGCCTCTCCTGGCAGGTGATTCCGGGGTTCGGGAGCCCAGGAGGCGGGCAGTGAACTCAGCTGGAACGAGCGGGGAAGACGACCGATGCCCAGGCCGAGGCGGGTGCAATTAACCCACCCCGCAAAGGCGGCTCTAGCCGGGGGGCGCGGATAAATATCCTGACGATGTCACTGCAATTCAAGGGTGGCAGGAGATTAGCTGGAGGGGCCCCCGGCCGGCAGAGACGCGGGGTGACAGCTGCCGACCCACTGGCTCTGTAGTGGGGCTTCAGTTCACCCTCTCCCAAAACTAGTGCCCTCCGGAGCCCAGGGCCTTTCGTCTCCCCAGCACCCCACACACGCAGGAACCGCTCCCGGGTCCACGCGGGCGTCTCTACGCCCATCACCGCAGCCTCTGGGCGCCTCCCAGCCCCTAAGGGACGTCTCCTCCCTGCGCCCGTGCGGCGCTGCTCTGCCCATTGCCCGGGGGCGCACCGAAGCCCGGAGAGACCCGGGCCCAGGGGAGTTCGGCACATGACCCCCACTGATTTCGAGGGGCTCTGGCCCCAAACCCCTCAGGGAGCTGGGCCCACGGGGCTTCTGGGAGCCTGTGGGGGATTGGAGTCCCAGCCCTGGTGTGTGTGTGGGGCGGGGGCTGAGCGGCGGGGGGGAATCCCGCAGAAGCAGCCCCCGGCCGGGGAAGCTGGGGCCCGGCTGGAGGGGACGGCCCGGTGGCTCGGGCTGGGAAGGGGACCGCGCCAGGCGCTGCGCAGGGCCTACTTGTCTCTGAGCGCCGCCATCTCCTCCTGGGCGCGCTCGCTGTAGGGGCTGCCCTGGCGCACCAGGCTCTCCCCGGCCCGCAGGGCCAGCGTCGTCTTCGGCACGCTCAGCTCCATGGTGGTTATGAAATCCTTGTGCTTCTTGATGGCCTTCTCCGCCGCCTCCATCGTGGTGGGCAGCTCCGCGTGGGCCAGGGTGGACGCCTGGGGGGGAGCGGGAGGGCCGGGGTTAACACTCAGCCCTCAGGCAGCCTGCAAACCTCCCCCCGACCTCGCACTCCCCACACCGGCCCCCTGTGGTGGGGGGAAACTGAGGCACGGAGGGGGAAGCCACGTGCCTGGGGTCACACAGCAGGTCATGGGCTAAAGCTGGGAAGAGAATACCGGAGTCCTGGCTCCCAGCCCCCTGCTCTAACCACAAGTCCCTACCCACTCCGCAAGCCAAGGATAAAAAATCCCTCCCCCTCTTTCCTTCTCTGCCGGCCCCACTCCCAGGCAGCTGCGCTCGGAGGCGCCTGGCAGCCGTCGCTCTGCGTCGGCATCAGTTGCACGCAGGCTCCGCCAAATGCCAGTTCCCACGTTGCCAGCCTGAGCAGGGGAGCAGAGCCGCTCCCCCCGGGCTCGGGCCTGGCTCCAAGCCTGTGGGCCTTGGGTCAAGCCCCTTGTGCTGGGCGCCGCAGGGGGACCAGAGACGGGGAACCCCCAGAGACCAGTGCGAATCCCCGAGCCTCGATCCCGGCTGCAGCGCCGCCCTGGAAGAGCCTCTCCCTCTCCGCAGGGATCCCTCTGGCCTCTTGCAGCCAGCTCCGCTGGAGCCGGCCTTGCAGACTCTGGAGCAGAGCTTCCTCCCAGGAACCATCTGCCCGGCTACCAACTGCTCCTGACTGGCTCCGCTAGGGCTCCTGGGGGGGGGGGAGCTGGCTGACGGCCGGGGGTGCAGGACGCCCAAAGCACTTACGCAGCCCCCCGGCCGTCAATGGGACTTGCTCACAGGCTCAGAGTTGTGCACCTGTTTCAGGGGAGTCAGGAGACCTGGGTTCCGTGCTCAGCTCCGCCACTGACCTGCTGGCTGACCCTGGGCAAGTCCTTTCCCTCTCTGGGCCTCAGTTTCCCCTCCCACTCCTGGCCTGTTTAGACTGGGAGCTCTTTAGGACAATGCATGTCTCTCACTCTGTCTGGGCAGCGCCCGGCGCGACGGGGCCCTGATCTCGGTTGTAGCCTCTAGGTGCTCCCATAATGCACACCAAACTCGCACGTGCTTTCCTGAACCGGGTCCTCACGACCGGCCCTGACTCCCCAGATCCTGAGCTGCCCGTTGCTGCTCTGACAGTGTTGAGCCCCTAGATTAGCCATTCCTCCCCCGGAGCCCGGGTTCCATTTCCTGCTGTCCTGGCTACGCTGGGCTGGACGGAAGGTCCTGCGGCGGGGAAGGGGGGCGGGGGGGAACAGGGCTCCCCACCACGCTCTGATTTCGTGCACTAAGTGGCCGGTTTGATGCTCCGTGTCCCAGCTCAACAACCGGCCGAGAAATCATCCGCTCGCACCCAGCTACTGCGGCTTCCGGCCTCTCACTGGCGCCGGCGCGAGGGATTGGGCTTTAGAGCCCATCTGGGAACCCGGGAAGCGAATCGTCCGTCCCAGATGCCAAGCACCAATGGATCACGAGTGAACAGCAACGAATTAGCAATTCATCTTTAGGAATAACTAGCACTTTGATAAGTATTGTTTTCTATGTAATGCCATTTGCTAGCTAATGGTATTTGTTAAGTATTAATTACTCATTGGTATTTGATAATTTGCTAGTAAATTTATTGCTAATTACCAAACGCTAAGGAATAGTGAGCAATATCTAGCATATACCAATTAATAATTATCAAATGGCAAAAATTATTAGCAGTTAATAATGTCAAAATGCAATAATTATCAAATACCATTTAATTATTAGCAATGAATACTTAGATACCAAATAGTTTGCAAAGATCAATAAATTAACAATTAATATTTAGAAATAGCCAAGTACCAAAAATCAATAATTAGCAATTCATTCTTAACAGATACTAATAGTTAGCAAAGACAATACATGAGCAACTGATATGTAGTAATAACTAGCCAATCAGATATCAATGAATAATTAGCAAATACTTAATACTGATTAATAGTAAAGCTCAATAAGTAACTTAGCTAACGGCAATAACTGCAAATTAATTCTTAGCCAATGGCAATTAATACGTAACAAATAATTACCAAATATTAACAACCTTGCAGGATTAGCAATAATTGGCCAATCATCTCAATGAATAACAAGCCATTGATACTTAACAAATGCCATTCATCGTTCACAGATATAACTAGAAATTCGTGCTTGGCACTAGCGATGAATTAGCCATAATCCTGCAGTGCCCCCGGTGACCCTGCCGAGCCGGCCGTGTGCGAGGAGCGGCCCCGCCCGTTACCTGGTTGTGGAGACACGCCTCAGCCTGTTGCACGTCCCTCAGGAAAAGGTGGAAGATCTGCGCCTGGACCAGCGCCTCCCGCCGGCTCTCCCACATCTGCAGCAGCTTGTTCCAGCCCACGTCCAGCTTCTGCAGCCACTGCTGGAGCGAGAGGCAGGGCACGTCGGCTTCCTCCAGGGCCAGCAGGTCGCTGGCCGCCTGGATCTTGGTGTAGTCCTCCTCGTAGCGGTCGATTTCCTCCTTGAGGGCCGCGTGCTGGCTCAGCAGCCGCTCTGCCCCCGCCAAGTTGCTGGGCAGCTCTTCTGAGGCCACGGCCGCCTGAGTCTTCACCAGCCAGGTCAGGAAGTTGTCCAGGTCCTGGATGAACTGCTGCAGCCGGCTGGCCACGGAGAGCGAGTCCTCGCAGCCCTGCAGGGTCCTCTTCAAGGCCTCCCACTCCTCGCTGATCTCCTCGAAGTGCAGCAAGACGGTCAGCGCCTGGGCCGGGTGGGCCGTGGCCAAGGCTTCGCCCTCCTGCTGCAACTCCAGGAGCTTGGGCTCCAGCACCACCAGGGCAGCCTCCATGGTGGAGAGCTTGCGCTGCAAGGCCAGGACGCCGCCCAGGTCGCCGCTGCTGTACTGGCTGGCCTCCACGGCGCGGCGCTTCTCCCGGATCTGCGCCTTGATCTCGGTGCACTCCAGCAGGTAGTTCTGGATCGTCAGGACGGAGCTGAGATGGTCCTTCCTCTGCTCCACCAGCTCCACCACCCGGTTCCACCTGGGCTCGCCAGACACAGAGAGAAGCCCATCAGCGGCTCGGGCACGGCCACAGGCCCTTCCCCGAAAGCCAGAGACACTCGGCTCGCCTTCCAAACAACCCCCCCAGAGCCAAGGCCGGTTCTTCCCCGGCCACTGGGGAGAAAAGCTGGGAAAGGCTAAAACACCAGGCGGCAAACGAAACCCAACAGGAATTCATCTAAAAACAATACATCCCATGATACGCAAGCCAATCTGCTGACTTTGTCCAGCCTGACCCACTAGCTTTGCTTGCTGGGGGCTGGCAGAGATGCAGGCCCGGCGGGCGGGACCAAAGCTCCTCGGAGAAGGCATAGCTCTCGCCTGTGACCTGGGAGACCCAGGGGCAAGTCCCTGCTGGGCTCCAGGCACCCTGGGGCCCAGATGCTTAGTCTGAGGAGATGAGCTGTAGTGCCGTGGTGCGGCTGACGGGAGAGCAGAGCTAATCCACCTCCCGAGAGAGGAGCTGTGTCGCAGGAGAAGCCCTTCCAGCTACACGGTGCTGGCCAGCCCGGGCTTCGGTCGGCGTAACCGCCTGCCTCGGGGGCGGGGGGCGAGTGAGGGTGTCACACCGACGGAAGTGTGTAGTGCAGCCCTGGCCGCCGTCGTGCTGTGCCTCAGTTTCCCAGCTGTGCCAGGGTGAGAGCACTGCCTGCCTCCCCGGAGTGCCCAGGACGATGGGCCGGTCGCCGGGTGCAGCTGAGGTGGGGCCGGAGACAGGAAGCTGGTAAGTGCAGCGTCATTGTCAAACGCCCAGCAACAGTGACCAGTACGGAGGCAATTAACAAATGCTGATAAAAACGGGCAAAAATTGACTGCTTCGGTAACCTTCCAAGAGCATTTTTCATCGAAACAGACAATTCTGGACAAAACAACGTTTTTTGTTGTTATTAAAAAAAAAAAAAAAAGAGGGGGGGGGGGGGGGGGGGCGGGGGGGGGGGGGGGGGGGTGGGGG